AAAAGATTTCTAGGAATCTTTAAGGCCAAGCACATAAGAGTTGTGCGTACACTCTAGCAAGAATGAAACAGAGCCTGGCTCACCTCCAGCTAACCTGGAGGGCTCCACAGAAGGCAGGGTGCAGGGTGAGGGCAACTCTGTAACTCTCGAGGCAGGGAACAGGAAGTCTTACCCCAACACACCCCACACCAGAGTCCATTAGGAATAGCAGTCGCTGACTGTCTGCTACACTAAACCACAGACAATTCAGTATAAGCACGATCAAGAGTCTTTACAGAAACAGCACGTGAAACTCACAAAACAAACAGTGACAACAAAAATCAACAACATAGACTCAGGGGCAGGTATCAAGAGCCACTGTATCACAGCAACTGTGTGATTCTCAACAACAAAATGTCCTGGGGAGCTTTAACTGTCACCTTCACACAGTCTAGAGTCACCTGAAAGCCAAGATTAAGGAATTGCATCAATCTCCCTGGCCTGTGAGCACACCTAAGGGGAATTGTCTTGATTGTTAACTGACATAGGAGGGCCCAGCCCACTACGGGTGGCACCATTCCCTGGGCTGTATATAGAAAGCTAGCTAAGCACATGTCTGTGAGATGTGAACCAGCAAGCAGGGGTCTCTGGCCAAAACTCAGGTAGATGACTTGCACAGCCTGTAGGAAGCCCTGGCTTCCATCCTTAGCTTGTGTGTCTGCATTCATGGATCCTATGAGTGATGTCTCTGTTGCTGTAATCAAATAACATGACCAAGGCAGGAGAAGAGTTCGTCATGGCAAGGAAACATGGCAGCAGGCAGTAGACCTACAGCAGGCAGGAAGCTGAGAGTGCCCATCCTCAACGGTAAGCATGAACGTGAAACAGAGAGAGCGAACTGGAAGTAGCACAGGGCTTTACATCTCAAAGCCCACCCCCACCCAGTGGCTTACTTCCTTCTGCAGGCTGCGCCACTTAAACAGTGATACCAACTGGGGATCAAGTGTTCAGCTGCCCGAGACGAGGGGGACAACTCTCATTCAAACCAACATACACCTCCACAAAAGTACACTGACTCAAAAGAAAACTGCATTTCAGGGGTTCACAGCAGACCATAACTAACAGAAAAGAGAGAGCAGCAGTTTCTTACAATTACTGTTATCAATTGTAGGCACAAGGTAATTGTGAGATCAATGGTAAGGTGTATTGTCTGCCAGGCCCCAGACCCTGGACTCAATCCCAAATAGCACAAAAATAGGGCAGAGGAAGAAAGAGAAAGGAAATACTAACCGCAAACAAAACAAATGAATAGCAGATATATTAGATTTCATCAACATTAAAATACTTTTTGCTAAAAGAAACATAAATAAGGAAGTGAATGATAACTCTGCAGAATGGCAGAAATTATTCACATCTTATGGAACTTTATATAGAGACACTACACAGAATAAATAAATTCAAGGGCAACAAGGTAAACTCAGTGTAAAAAGGTATGCATGCTTGTCACATGCACACAGGTGCCCTGTCCACAGAAGCCAGAGAAAAGCATCAGAGAACCTAAGAGGTGGAGTTACAGGTAGTTATGAGCTGTCTCTATGGTTACTGGGGCCTGAAGTCCTATGGAAGAGCAGCAAACACTCTTCACTGCTGAGCCATCTCTCCAGGCTCCAGGGCTTTCTTAAAACTCTTGATGATTCTCTTTGATGATCAGAGGAGAGTACATTTGGGTCCCGCAATGTATACCAGGAACATCTGCTCTTGGGCAATGATGCTGCAGCTGTTCCTAAGAGAAGCATGTGGGCCTGGCACGGCTTACCTAGAGCAGAGATGCAAGCTGCTTCCACTGGCCTTGGAGCCCAGAGACCTGTCCACACACAGGAGGGAAAGTGTGGATACCATTGGGCTAGGTGGCACCCTCTCACTAGGATCCCGGGTAAAGAGAAGCTCAATACAGCGATACTAAGGGTATTAGACTTTATCTCACTGTAGCAACTACTGAGATAAATCACTTGAAGGAAGAAATAACTATTTGGGCTCACAGTTTCAGAGGTCCAGTCTACAGTGGCAGGAAAAGCATGGCAGAGAAGGGCAAGTCATGTCATTGGAGGACGGAAAAGAGGAAGAGGAAACTTTATGTTTTTTCCTCTTTTAATCCCTTCAGGTTCCCAGGTTCCCAGGGGTGGGATGGTGACCCCCCCAGCTTTCTAGGTATCTTTGTCCCCAGTTAATCCTATGTAGATATATCCTTACACACACACACACACCCAGAAGTGTGCTTCATTAACCCTCTGTACTTCTGAGTGCAATCAACATGGCAAGATTAATCGTCATACAACCTTCCAAAATTTAAAATGGATTTGCTGCGTTGTTTTAGTGGTATGGGTCCAATGACAGCATATGTTCAACCCCCCTGCATACTGCTACCAGGTGTCACATTAGTGACCATTAAAGCCAGAAATTATAGACACTTCACAGATGCTCTGGAGAGTAGCTGTGCCTATTGTTAGACTGGAGTGGACCACAGACAGCTCCCACAATTGTCTCTTACATGATTGGGCGTGAGATCTAGGAATTTCAGACCAAGAGAAGGAACAACAGCCATCCACTATCAGGCAAAAGCAAGGACAAACCAGGGCATCATTAGTGTGCATGAGAATTGAGACATTAAAGCCACACAGTAACTCCAAGCCAAAGACTTCCAACAGAAAAGGCCCACAGCCACTGGGGAGCCAGAGATAAGGAGGTTGGCAGCTGCAAAAGAACTCAGGGATATCCCATTTGAGTCACAGAGCGTCAGTGCTGGGGCCTGATTTCCACTTGGGCCTATTTTCCATTACCCTGCTCATGTCCAAGGCAATAATTGGAGTAGGGCATGTTCTTGAGCTACTCTGAAAACGTGTGTGTGCATGTGTGCATATGTGTATGTGTGTATATGTGTGTACATGGGTATGTTAAGAAAAAGCCAAGCAAAGCAAGATAGATATAATCTAGGGGTCAATGCAAGCAGAAAAAAAATGGCCACAATTCAATGGTTTTAAAAATCATTTTTGGCAGCACTCAGGAGGCAGAGGCAGGTGGATCTCTGTGAGTTCAAGGCCATCCTGGTCTAAGAGCTAGTTCCAGGACAGGCTCCAAAGTTACAGAGAAACCCTGTCTCAAAACAAAAACAAACAAACAAAAAACCCATTTGTAGGGGCTAGAAAGATGGCCCTGAGGTTAAGAAAGTGTGCGTTCGCAGAGCAGAGGGGCAATCCCAGCACTTATGTCAAAGCTGCTGTTCATCAGTACCCATAACTCCAGCTCAGGGCATCTGGCAGCTCTGGCTCCACAGGCGCCTGCACTCAGGTGCACATTCCCACACACAGACACGCATAAATTAAAAACTGAAAACAAGTTTATAAAAAAATCTTTTAGTTTATGCACACAGTTTTGTTGGAACTGGAGTTACAGACAGTTGGGAGCTGCCATGTGGGTGCTGGGAATTGAACCAAGTCCTCTGGAAGAGCAGCTAGTACTCTTAACCGCTGACCCATCTCTCCAGTCCTAAAACAACTTTTAAAAATAAAACATTTGAGATGACCCAAGAGGAAAGGTGCTTTTGGCCAAACCTGACGACTTAAGTTCCAACCCCAAGACCAGAACAGAACTAAGGCCCACAAGCTGTCCTCTGACCTCCGTACACATGCCCATGGCCCCATCCCAACACACACACACACAAAATTAGTAAATAAATGTCATGTGAATTTTAATAAAATAAAAAAACACGTTTGCAAGGTCCATAATGGGGATGTCTATAGCTGTACCACCTGTACCCTTCGTCCAACCTTCCTCCCTGCTTTCCCTGCTGGACAGTGAGTACCCTAGGAATCTATCAAGAAGCTTGGCCCGCTTCTGCCCTGTCTGCTACCAACTGCAGAAACAAAGGAGAACCCGAAGACAAACACTCTAGCTGGCTTCAGTCCCTAACTTAGCAGTGACAGAAAACAGGACAACCTCCCAGGTACCAGAGGCTTGCCTGTCAGTGAGCAAAGCCACAGTTCTCAGGAGCAGGGATCCAAGATGCTCTTACCAGAGCCTGCTTTGTCCCTTTGAACGGGGTCACAGAGTCCTGTTAAGTAATCAGCTCTGGTTTGAAATGAGCAAGGCTCCATTTCAGAACCTGGCTCTTACACCTCAAACCAAAGGGAAGGAAGGACCTCCTCAAGGCGGAACACTAAGTGACTTACCGATATCTGGAAGCTTACTTACTGCTTGTCTTAGAGTATTAACTCCCATTGGCCAATGACTAAACATCCTATTAGCCACGTAAACGAAAGTGTCCAAAAATCTCGATGAGTCTAAGTTTAAAAGAAACCAGCCAGGCAGCGGGATTCAAAGAAAAATAGTTCCCAGGTGCCACAGCTTCCGTCTGTATTCTTTTTATTGATATTACAAAGAAATTTGCTTTTAAGAACTAGGGAGATGGCCCAGTTGGTAAAACACTAGCTGAGCAAGCCTGAGGACCTGAGTTCAATCCCCAGGACCCATTGCGAGGTGAGGAATTAGACACAGCAGCTCTGGGAAACCCGCGACAGAAGGTTCCCTGGAGCTCACTGACCACCAAGCATAGCTGAATTGGTAAGCTACAGGCTTGGCCTGTCTCCAAATTGGGGTGGAGAGAGGGAGGGAAACCACCTGAGGTCAATCTTTGCACCCCCTACATACACCCCCCCACACACACTAACATATACATAAAACCACACACACCAAAAACGAAATCTGTCTTATTTGGGATGCTTGGTTACTGGAACACAAGCAGATTCCTAGATCTTCTGATACAGTGATTATTACCTGTTCTGAATTTCTCTGTTCTCATCTGGTACCTCCCATGCCCCTCGGGCATGTTCACTGACAATCAGGATCCTTCAGCCAAGTTACCCAAGTACGTCATCCTGTTGATGTCATACAACCTTACCCAGCTAGATGCCAGACCCAGCAAAGGAACTGTTGGAGCAGCCAACTGCAGAGGGTCCTCCACTTACCACCACCTTTGTTGCAAACATGTACTTGTCCCGAAGCTGGAAGTCCCTCACTTCCTCCAGGACCACTTCCTGGTTTTCCCGGGACTGGAAGAAGTCTGTGCTGCGGAGCACTGTGGAGAACCCAAAGGGTTCATGCCGCTCAATGTAGATAGTGTTTGGCTGGTCATAGGGGTCGATTCCCCTGAAAGGAAGAAACAACTGTTACCATCTCCTATTTAGTCACTGGAGGCATGGACATTTCACTGTGTGGACAACTGCCCAGGACCTAAGACCCTATGGAGTCAGCTACAAATGGCGCTCTGCTCAAGCATGTGCCTTTGCTTGTTCCTTAGCTGGGGGCAGAAGCTGGGGAACTGCCACTTGTAAGGTGCTTTACTCTGCTACCGCTGTTTCCAAAGCATCCTGGGATTAGCTCAAGGCAATCTAGGGCCCTACTTTCAAAGGGCAGAAACGGCAGAAGGCAGGGTGGTTCCGAGGAAAATGAGCGCTGGAGGCACCAGACAAGTTCCTGGCCCCAAGCTCAGAATCTCAGAGGTGAGTAGCATTTTCCCCAGGTGCTTTAGACTAAAACACGCAGCAGTACACAGGGCACACTAGGACCCTCTGAGCAAGCGGCCTATCCCTCAGATCTTTCCCTGCCTGTCCCTGCTGATATCACTAACTCATGCCATCTGGAGTCATCCTGCAGGTGTATTTCATCTCCCATGAGGCACCTGCTTTGCCGACCTGCTAGGTGTCCTCCAGAGAGGGTAGGCACACTTGTCACTCTTTGCTTCTGTGGACATCTCTGTGTAGAGGTGCCCTCTGCACACTCCAGTCCTTACATGTAAACCTACCCTCCTTCCAGATCAAATTGAAATCACTGTCCTCCAAGAAGCTTTTCTTTTTTCCTAGCAAAGCTTCTATACGAGTTTTAACTCAAAGTAAGGTATGGAAGTACAGGGGCCAGGTGAATTTTGGAGTCGGTCTCGGTACACTCTAGTGGGCCCTCTTACCCACGGCATCACATGTGTTTGTGCAATCTTCTTGGGCACGTCACACTGGCCTGGGGAGGCTGGGATGACAGAATCCCTGGCTGAAGAGATGCTTACTGCATTGGATGCATGGACTACTTCCTACTATAGCCACTAATCCCAATCGCCTCTACAGGTTAAAAATCAGACTACACCGGAGAAGCTCTCAGTTGGAGTTAGTGCTCTCAAATACAGCACCACCCAGAAGCCAGGAAGACCACTGATCTGCCCAAGCTTCCCGACTCAAAATTAAACACCAAGGCCGGAGAACCGGCAAATAGAAAATTAACTGGTAAGTCAAACAAAGAACCCCGAAGTAGCCAAGCAGAGATAACGCTGGCACGGAACCGAGGGTGTCATTTATGTGGCTGTCTGTATACAGTTCTAAGGCCCTGTGGCACTCAACATAATGAACGTGAGGATGATTTCCCATTACTCCCAAGAAAGAGGGTCAGGTCCGTGTTCATCAAAGAAAGCAAACTGTTTTCAAAGGAACCAATGGAAGTGGGGAGACGGTGCAGTCAGAAAAGTGGGTGTAGAACCAGCACGAGGACCTGAAGCTGTGGTGGCCACGTGAAAACGGGCTGTGCTGTATCACGATCCCAGTGCTGGGAAGGTGGAGAAGACGTCTTGCCAGTGAGCCCCAAGTTCAGGGAAAGGCCCTATCCCCAAAAACATAAAATAGAGACCGAGGCAAATACCCAGCATCAAGCCCTGACCTCCACACACACACAAACATGTGAACACATATGCATGCATGTGAACATATACAGGAAGAAAACAAGAAGCAGAAAAAGGAGAGTCTCATTTCAACACTGGAAGAAGACTTGATGTCGACCCTACAATCTGGACTCTGAGCAGAGTGGTGGAGAAGCCAGCAGCCCGGGCCCGGCGTGGGAGAAATCCATTCTTCCTGATCAGATGCTTGTGTGGGGGCGGCTGGTGACATGTTCTCTTCTCCACAATTAGAAGTACTGATTAAAGTACTTCCTCTAGCCTAGAGGATATGCAAATGAAAAGGAGGCTGCTGGGTATTTTTAAAAGGCAGAGAGGAAGAAACCCTTCTTGACATATTTTGAGATGAGCTTACTTCTATTATCCCTTTCTCCAGCCAAAAGAGGAAACCAAGGTCTCGAGACCGAACACCTCATACCTTTCACCCCAACCCTCTTCCGCCACCCATATTTGGACCTCTAATCCTGGGATTGGCTCCATCTACAGGCTCCTATACTCCGGCATCTCCTCACCTTCCAGTTTCTCTCCAGCCCTTAGGTACTCTTGTTCTGTCTCTCATACAGAAAGTTCATCTAGTGGCTACTTCTAAGCATAATCACCCCTGGGCCCCATCTGCCTCATCCACAGCCCCAGAGGGAAGCTGCGTGGGGACACCCTTGAGTGCCTCCCACCCCCTTACAGGTCTTGCCCTGTGCTGGCCTTGTCAGTCTCTAGGTCTGGGCATGTACTTTCTAGCTTTCTCTGCCCTGGTCCCTGCCTCCCCTGCCTGATGCTCCCAGGTGACAGGCATGGTGACTCAAGACCATGTTCCCCTCTGGAAGATCATCTTGTACTCTTACTCTGGGGGAAATTTAGGGAAAGATCAATCTCCTAAGCAACCTGAAATCCCAATACTAGAAATCCAACCTCTCCAACACACCTGTGTGCCTGCAGAAGTTACAGAACAAAGTTCTAAGCTAAAAAGCCTTGCATTAGGTAGTCCTGCTGACTCTCCCTCAAAGTGATAAAAGGGCAGTCTGGGGGCTGGAGGGGTGGCTCAGTGGCTAAGAATGCTGGCTGCTCTTGCAGAGGACGGGGGTCCATTTCCACAGCCTTCTGTGACTCTAGCAATCCAATGCCTTCTTTTGACCTCTGTACACACCAGGTACACTGTGGTGCATAAATACACATGCAGGCAAAACATTCATAAATACAAAATAAAGTAAACCTAAAAATTATCAATTTCTTCCCATTAGGCAATGGAAAGTTAAGACAGTATCCCGGGATGGAGGCTCTCTTTACACAATAGCATAGTTACAATTCTCCTATGACAAACACAGCCTCTGCCCAAGGAAAATCACCAAAGGACCAGAAAAACTGCTTGTTATGAAAGGGAAGTCCATGTGACTTAGAAGACGTTAAGCTGTGGTGCCTCTTACTCCCTTTGCTCCTTCCTCAGCATCCTTTGTTAAAGCAAGTAAGACCTACTCGAAAAAAATCAATTTACACAAACAGCTAAAATAAACAATAGGCAGTGTCTATATCCTATTGGTCCACTGCATTTAATATAGACTAAAACTAAACATAAAACTGAAAAGACAAATACTAACTGGCAAACAAGCATACACATACACCTGTCTTATATCACACCAAAAGGGCCCAATCTCAACTATATAAAGAGTTCCCAGAAATCACAAGAAGACTAACAATCAGAAAGAGAGCAAGGGATATTTTTTTTTTTTTGGATAAGGTTTCTGTGTATAGCCATAGCTGTCCTCAAATTTGCTAAGAAGAGCATGTTTTTTTAAATGATGCCTGACTAGGAGTTCACAGTCACTGCCAAATACATAGGGAGTTCCAGGCCAGCCATCGTTAATATGAGTCCTATCTTAAAAAAAAATATCTTCAGTAAAGACATTCAAATTCATTCATAATGAGAAAATGCAAATTACAGCTAAATGAGACAATGTGCCCTTAGCTGTAGAAAAAGACGCTATTCTATGCTACTGAGATGAAAGTAAATTTGACAATGTCCATGGAAAATTTTGCAATGCCTACCCAAGTTACAATTTCCCTGGGGACTCAAGCAGTGTGCTAGACTAACAAAATCTCTTCCCTTTGATGCTTTCATCCTGTTGAAGACAAATAGTTAACATGACAAACAACGGTGTGCTACAAGGTAATAAAGGATTGCACACAAAAAGAATAGGGCACAGCTGAGCGGACAGGAGTCGTCATTTTAAATAGAATCTTTAGAAAGCTCCCCACAGAAGAATGGCTATCACTTGAAAGACAATAGAGAGGTGCTGAAGAATGTGGAGAAAGGGGGAATCCGTGTGCGGCTCACTGTGTGAACCAAGACTGGGGAGGATCCTGGGGAAATTAAAAATAAACCTACCATATGACTGAGCTGTCTCTTTCCTGGATATAAACCCCAAAAGAAATGAAATCACTGCCTCTGAGATCTGCGCTCCCATGTTTACCATGGCACGACGCACAAGAGCAGAAACACCTTGAGGTTCATTGACGGAAAAAAACTGCATAGACTGTGGTTCAGAGATACAATGGAATATTAGCCAGCCTTTAAAATGGAGCTGCTGTGGGAAGTCAAACAGGCCAGATACACACAAAAGTGTGTGTGCTCACTTCCACTTAGAAGCTTAAAAAATCAAATGGGGGGTGTGGATAGGAGAGCAAAGCAGAGGACATGGAGGAGCTAATAGAGGATTAGACTTCATAACTGTAGCTTGTGTTTGGGATTTTTGCTAACCTACTGCAGTTGCTTTTGTACACACAAGGACAGCCGTGTGTGATGGTGCCTGTCGCTTGCTTCGCTGTGGGCGCTACTTTACTGTCTCCCTCCTGTATCCTATCAGAGTGTAGCGCACACTCTGATAACACTCGAGTAAATAAGTAAGATCTGATGGGCCAGTCTCAGGAACTGATGAAGTAAAAGGGAAGGCAGTGAGTGCAAGCTAGGAAAGAACATTCTAGCCAGAGGAAAGAGCAAGTGCACAGGCCCTGTGGCCCTTCATCTGAGTGAACGATGATGTGTTCAGCAGTTCAGAGAGGACTGTGGAGATGGCGCAGTGGGCAAGGTGCTTGCTATACAATATTGAGGACCTGAGTTCAGCACCCATGTAAAACATGGGAGTGGAGACTCCTGTCTGTAACACTAATGGGGAGTGGGGAGACAGGCGGATCCCAGGGACTCACATCTCAATCAGTCTAGTCATATTAATAAGCTCCAGGGTCTTTGAGAGACCCTGCCTTAAAAATACAGTGAAAAGTATAAATTGAAGAAGACAGCCAGCATTAACCTCACATGCACACACACATGCACACAGATGTGAACACCTACACACCACACACGCTCAAAGGTTCAAAAGGATTGCTCTGCCTGTGTTCTTAGGATAAACTTCCAATGGACAAGAGTGATCCAGAAAGACAGTTGAGACTCATGAGCAACAGCAGTGTCTCCAAGTAAAGCCATAGCTAAGCTTTACACAAAGGTTGGTGAGGGCCAGTGGAGATAGCTCAGTGGATAATGCACTTGTCATGCAAGCGTAAGGGCAGGAGTTTAGATCCCCAGCACCAAAGAAAAAAACAGGCAGGTGTGGGGACAGACAGGGTTCCCTAGTGCAAGACTGCTGGCTAGACTAGCCAGAACTGGTAAACCCTGGATTCAGAGAGAGATCCTCTCCCAATAAATACTGTGGAGAATAACAGAGGAGGACCCGGATGACAACTTCAAGCCTTTATACCCAGTCACACATGTGTACCTACCCATATATGAACACGCACCACAAACATACACACACACACACACAGGCCATTGAGTCCACAAGATACAAACATGGACAAAGTGTAGAACACAAAATAATATGGAATCAAAAACCATAGTGCTTTGTTTTGTTTTGCCCTGTTTGTTTGTTTTGAGACAAGGTCTCCATATATAGCCCTGGCTGTCTTGAAACTCACTATGCAGACCAGACAAGTCAAACTCACAGAGATCTGCCTGCTTCTGCCTCCTGAGTGCTGGGATCAAAGGTGTATTTCACCATACCCAACCACCACAAGGTTCTTAAACTGATCCTAGACACTGAATGAGGAGGGGACCAGGACACATACAAGACAGGAGGACCATGAGTCAATGCAGGATTCAAGGGTCAATTTGTGGTTGGTGTCTCTCTGTTAGTCAGGAAAACAAAATGACCAAAGAAGGCAAACATACTCACTCTACAACCAATCCCAAGAATCTGTCCCATGCTCACTGCAAACATGCAAACACATGTGTTCAAGATCTCATGTTCCACTGCTCTCCCAATACAAGGTGACAAGCAGCAGCACTTAGTTAGACATGGATGTTCTTGATGGAAAATAGTCCACTTCACTCTCCTCAAAGCTTACAGTGGCTCCCCACTTCTCTCGGATTCAGTTCAGATTCCTTCCCCAAACACAGTAGATTCTTTTGTTTGGTTTATGTGTGTATGTGTGTGTGCGTGCGTGTATGTGCGTGCATGTGCGTGCACAAACACACACATAATCATGTGCAGACCACAAGGCAAGCACTGTATGGACGTCAGAGGACAACTTAAGGGAATTGGTTCTCTTCCTCCATCTGTGGCTTATGGGAACTGAACTCGGGTCAATAGGCTTGGAGGCAAGCACCTTGACCCGGTGAGTCACCTCACAGTCCCTCAGCACTGGAGATTCTTACCTAATTTCTCTGCACAAATCCTGAACAATACACAGTCCAAACATTCGGTATTCCCCACCCAGGTACCACAAAAACACACAGCTGCCTCTGGCCATGCATCTCCAGCAGGGAAGTCTTGTCCTCTACAACTATCTACAGCATGCTAGTTCCTGTTGCCATCTGCCATGCACAGCCTGGATCAAGGGCAACCAGAAGCTGCCTGGCACTTCGTGCTCCCTCCAACATGTGTGGCATGTATACAAAATGTCTTTTCTGATTCCCTACTGTGGCGATATTTTGTTTGTGCCGCAACAATAAAATTTGCCTAAAGATCAGAGTATGGAGCTAGCCACACTAGTTAGCCACAGAGGAAACAGTGGTGGCATACACCTTTCATCCCAGCACTAGGGAGCTGGAGACAGGACGGCAGGAGGAGACGGGAGCTCAGGATTCAGTATGAAGTGTCTTAGAGATGGCGTTCAGTCCGAGGACTGAAGGAGGTGAAGAACTAGAGGCTGACTGCTCTGTTTCTCTGATCTTTCAGCTTCCACCCCCAATATCTGACTCCAGGCTTTTATTGTTAAGACCAATTAGAATTCGAGCAACACCCTACACCACATTCTTCTCTATAACTGTATCCATAGATTTTGTTCGGCTTGCATTTGGGGGGAAAAAAACATGAAATGGATGTACCAGAGTCTGAATTTTTATACTGAGGAAAAGCCCATTTGTGATATAACGCCCTGAATATGAAAGTATTTTGGACTCTAGGACATGCAAGAGCTTCAAGGTTCCCCCAGGTCCTCTAACCAACTGAAAAACACCCCACCCTTTCTCACCGCCAACTGGTGAGCTTGTTCCCTGTGCAATTCTGCTTCCCAGGTCAGGACAGTATATTTCTTGAACCAAGTGCTGAGAGTAAAATATCCACCCACTGTCTATTATGACTGTTCGAGTCTGTCATTTTTCCTATGGGGTCATATTCTGAATATCTGCGCCCAGCTGGAAGCTGTTGAACCTATAGAAGGTGGGCCTGGCTGGCAGAAGGAGGTGAATAGGGTCAGGTCTTTGAAAATCATACCCTGTTCCTAGTACCTTCCTCGTTCAGTTTCCTGGTCTACTGTGATATGAATAGCCTCTTCCAACCTCTCCCACTGCCATCAGCTGGCCTGCCATCTTTTCCCAACATGACAAACGTGGACCCTCTCACACAGCGAGCTAACATAATCCTCCCTTAGCTTGTTCCTGTCAAGTATTTTGGTCCCACTCATGCCAAAGTAACCAATCCAGACTGAAGGAGCTAGGAGACAGGAGACTTCCTTTGCACACCAGGATTTGCCACGTGCCTCAACTTACCAAGAAAAGGACTTCACATGCTCCTGAATCATGATCCAGGTCTGGCCAAAATCATCTGACTTCCATAGCTGCAGAGACCAAAATAACAAGAAGTAGTCATGACATGAGAAGAGATGCATGTGCCACCATATGCTGGAAACACCAACTGAAACACTGCGCGGACAGGCAGACCACAGCAAACAGAAAGAGGAGGAAGGACAGATCTGTTCTCTAGAGCAGCTGGAAGGGTGATCTGTTATTTACCTGGGGGCTGTCTCACCACCTGAGTGAGGTGTCAGGAGAGAGAATCTGCCTAGCCTGTACAAAGCCCAGGGTGCCTTCCCTAACGTTGCAAAACACAAAGCAAAACTGGGGACACGATGCAGTACATCCACACCACAGGGTATGAGCCCCTTGCAAAAGGAATGCGAACCTGGCACACACTGACACCCAGGACACTGGAAACACTGTTCTCAGTGAAAAAAGACAAAGTGTGTGATTCTACTTACACGAGGGACCTGGAGGAGGCAAGATCAGAGATTGAAAACACAATGGTGGCCAGGAGAGTTTGCGGGGGGGGGGGGGGGGGCAAGAAATAGAGTGTGGGTTGAATATGGACGAGGTTTCAGTTCTACAAGAGGGGAAGAAAGTTCTGGAGCTGGATGGAGGTGATATTGCAGAACATAAATGTAACTGATATCCATCAACTAAACACACAAAAAAATTACAATGGTAAAATTTTCTTAAAAAAGGAAAGTACACTAAAAAAGAGAATAAAAATACAATATTTGTAGACTACGGGAATAGGTTGGTGGTAGCAGAATACTCATCTGTCATGTAAGAAGCTCTGGGTCTGATACCCAGCACTAAATAAATAAATACACATTGGTCACTTCAGCTGACTGCAGAGACATTGCCCAGAGCAAAGGGACCAACTGAATGCTTGACCACAGGGATCGAATGAATGCATAAACTTGGCGGCTGAGTATTTGGCCAGCTCGTTACCAAAGCCCCACAACCTGTGGACACCAGAGGCTTCCACAGGCCCCAGCAGAAAAGACTGAGAAGCCTGAGTCCAAAACTAACAGCAGTCCCCTCTCCTGTTAAACTGACCCTGCCCCTAAGCTTAGGTTACTCCCTACGGCTGGCAAAGGAAAACAGATCTCTGTTTTGGTTACACAACCATAGAGCAAATGAATTGTTTCAAGGCCCTTTGAGCAAAAGCATTCAAATCTCCTTAGTCAGGAGGTAGAGGGGTTTACGCCCTACCAGTATTCACTACTTAACACATTTGAGCGTTGAGGCAGAACTGCTCCACAGGCTCTCCCTCGCTTCCTAGTTTTCTTCAGACTTGATTCAAAATAGGAAATACACGCCATTCGCTTTATAACTCAGAGGCATGCACAAACACAAAGGAAGAATAGCAAAGCTGAAAATCACGTCAAACAAATGTCAGTGCCATGTGCTTAAGGTATGGCAGGGTGAAGCTGAGGGGTAGCACGCCGGCCTAGCAGGCGCCAGGGTCTGCATTCGATCCCAGTTTGGCAAAAGTCAAACAAAATAAATATAGGAGAGGACAGAGAAGTCAGATAGAAACACGCCAGGAAGTCACAGAAGAGTTCACACTCCAGACTTCTCAGGTGGCTCTCTCTAGTCACATTTCTGGGCCTCAACTTACCCCACAGGCTTTCAAAAATGCATGAACACCAAGAAAGGCCTAGTGTTGAAGTCACAGGACCTGCCAAGCGTTGGGTGCTAACTGATGGCAGGGACACAGGGAGAGGGTGCCAAGGGAGTATACGTTTCCTTAGCTGTGCTAAGTGAAATAGTAGCTACAAAGGTTAAGCCTGAGGGAAGAGGAGGACAAGGGAGGAGGCAAGGTTACGAAAAGGACACACAATCCACCAAGCAGAGCAGAAAATTCCAGAACACACACACACACACACTTACATCTGTGCTCCAGAGGTCTCTTACCTGCTTGTTGGGGTGAGATCTGTCAAAGCCCAAGAGGAGGTTGGAGGCTTTGCTGTGGAGGAGGAGGTCAGCAGCCCGGAATGGGATGGAGAAGCCATGGATAGTGCTGCAGAAGTCAAAGGTGATCCACAGGTACTGGGCATAAGCATCTACAAAGATGTACTGCAAGAGAGAACAGGCAAAGTCAGAGCAACCTCTGGCCAGAGCCACCCGACAGGTCCCTAAACCTTTGCAAGTGTCCCCATGTTGGTCTCATCCTCTATCTCTGCATCTCCTGGCCACCAAAAGATGCTGGATATATCAAACCAGGTTCAGTTAAGACGGATGCATGGCTGGGAGATAGCTCAGCTGAAAGGTTCTTCCTTTGCACACACTAGGACCAATCTTTAAAAAAAAAAAAAGTGGGGCCAAGCCTGAGGACCAATACCAGAGGTTGTTCTCCAGTTCTCACAAGACACACACAGAGAGAGAGAGAGAGAGAGAGAGAGAGAGAGAGAGAGAGAGAGAGAGAAAGGAGAGAATAGACAGGCCCAGTAAGGTCACGAGGGGAGCTTGTTTAGCCCGGTCATAGGCTAGTCAACTTTTCTGGTGTTTTTATTTCTTCCCATTGACTTGCCCATTCTTGCTCACTGGCAGGCCATTCAGACACAGTCAGAAAGTGGCTATTGGCAGCCAGGACAGAGATAGCCTGTCCTTCAGATTGCCTGGACCCTGATGGGGGTGCCATCCCTCCACCCATCCTCCAGGCAGCCACAGCTCACCCTTTTCCTGGAAATCATTAAAATCTCTCCATCCTTGCTATAATGCCAGGTGACTCCATAGCCCTGGGGAACCAACTGTGCTGCCAGGCACACTCTTGAGACCCGGCTGAAGTGGCTATGGGAAGCAGGGGCCATACCTCATTTCACTTCTTAATAGGTCACCGACTTTAAACAAGATCTACTGGGCCGGAGGCAGCTGCCGCCTCAAGATTTCCTGGGGACCCAACGAAGGTAGTGCAATTTAACATGTGAATCCTGCAGACTCCATCAGTCATAAGCTAGGAGTGCTGCAGCAAGGCACAGATGAAGGTCAAACAGCCAGTGACACAGGCAGAGCACTGGGAGAACCTGTCCAGACCACGGTATCAGAGCTGACGCTATATGGAGGGGGTCACTGTAGGGTGTCTGCATTGGTTTGCTTTCTGTCGCTGTGCTAAAACCCCAACCAAATCCAACCTAGGGATGCTGGGGGATTTATTTGGCTTTCTCATGCCCATCATTGAGGGAAGTCAGGGTCGAAACTCACGTAGGATCAGAGGCAGAAACTGTGGAGGCTGGATTGCTCCCATGGCTTGTTCAATTGGCTTTCTTTTACAAGCCAAGACCACTTGCCTAGGAGTGGCACCACCCACAGAGGGTTAGGCCCACCCACATCAATTTATTAAGCATGAAAATGCCCCCACAGACTTGACTAGAGACCAGTGTGATTGAGGCTCCCTCTTTCCAGATAGCTCTAGCTTGTGTCAAGTTGACAAAAGCTAACTAACATGGCAGGCATAATGTCCACAAGGAAAGAACATTCCATGCCTGGGATAATGTAACTTTGGGTTAGGCACTATTGTACAGGTTTAATGAAAGGCTCAGAGGCCTAAGAAAATAACGAGTCTAGGAAGCTCAAATGAGACTGGAGCAGGGTGGGGTGGGATGTGGGGGAAGCAGCCGTGCTCCCAGAAAAGCAAGAGTGGTCCCGAGAAGCAGGCATTGAATCAGAAGTAGAGCAATGGGGACCTAGCACCAGCCACAATCAGCCCTTCACATTCTAGAAGACAGCCAATTCAAGGGCATTCCCCTACATGACAGACGAGCTTCCTGCTCCAAACCCTTCTCAGTAGCCTACACAGGAGCTGCTACCCTGCACTGGCTCCCACCTGGCTCTCAGTGGTCCCTCCTGCCTTCTCCTTTGCACATCTCGCCTGTGCTGTTTCTCTTGTACTTCCTCCCCCAGCATCTAATGTAAATCTCACACTCTGCAGAAGCCTAATTAAATCTAAGAAAAAGATAGTAAATGTTTTGAGAGCAAAAACTACTCCAAGCAAACTCGGTGCAATAAAAACAATTACGATCCTAGCAAGAGCATCATAATTCCCGCCATGGATGTCTTCCTTAGAAACAGCCTGCCCTCCTGCTCTCAACCCATCTTGGCTCCTTGGAAAGGTGGCACTTTCAGTTAGCAAGGACTGTTCCAGAAATCTGTTTCATGCCTTTCTCCAGGATCACATTTAATCTAAAATACCACCTAACTAGCCATTTTTATGATAAGGCCGAATGGTTTTTCAGTTTGTTTGTTTCTGGTTGGCTTGGTTTGCTTGTTTTTTTAAGAGCACTTGCTCCACACCAGGCAGGGAACTAGAAGTTTCCCAGGCCGTGTCTTGCACAGGCTGTTTCTCATTCACAGTGACTCGGTGTTTTGGGTCACCTTGTCACACCCCCTCTTAAGAACGAGGACACTGAAGCTCACAGCAGCTTGATCCCCCCAGATGACGCAGGAGCAGAGTCATACCCAGCTGCTGCAGAGCCCGGTTTCTAACAGTCCATCAATCCTTTCTGCTCTCCGAACCAAAGACAGCACTTCCTGATCTGAGAGCATTTCATGGTGCGATTTAACTCACGGATGTGTTTCCTCTCCTCAGATGCTCCTCAGCTGTTCCCTGGAAACCCGTCTTCCTTCACCTTTTGCAACATCCCTCTGAAGCTTCCCTGCTCCTCCCATGACAATCTTGGACTTTGATTCTGTGCGGATTCTTCATCTTACACACACACACACACACACGCACGCACGCACGCACCATCTTGGAAGCTTAGTCTTATGCCCTTTCCTAATGCAGTATTTCTTCCATACAGCCTCCAGAATGGATACTGAATGCTTGCTACAGTTTGGATGTGGTCTGTCCCACTAAGGTTTACAAATTACACGTTTGACCTTCGGTGGTGTTAGGTGATGAATGAGACTGAGGGAGTCACTCAGCCAGCAAAGTCCTTGTGCAAGCATGAGGAGCCGAGTTCCGATCCCAAGGGGGTCACAAAAAAAGCGAGGTGCCGTGGTTCCTCTTTCTAATCCCAGCACTGGATACTGACGAGGTTTCATTTTCCACTTTTTTTCTCTATTCTTTCTTCTCTGATACATTGCACATATCAGAAGGAGTCACATTTCCCCAAAAATGTTCTTGCCCACCGCTCCCTAACTCAAAGCTCCTTGGAGGGCTCCCAAGTCCAAGGTGAAAGTCAATCTCCTCCACCTCCAGATGGTAGTCAGGGTGGCAATGCAGAACACCCATCCTGCCCAGATGCCATCAGCCAGCTCCCTGGAGTCTCTTCCTGCCCATGCCTTCCTCCTGCTTGCAGGCTCCTACCAACTCTATTCCCCTACTGGCAACAAACATCCCATCCTTGAAGCCCCATTCCTAACCCTCAGTGCTCCCTAAGGGCCTCACTACCTCACTTACCCCCTGCTCCATTTAGAGATGACGTCACTCTTCACCCAGCATCTCGTACACTTTGGTGATATGCCACATGTCACAGACATATGTCACATGTCATACACATATGTCACACGGCACACACATGACAGGAAAGAACCGAATGCCTGGTTGCTTTGGCACCTGGTGGCCAACCCCACAGATGGGCTACCAGACCTGACTGACTAGCTGCTTCCCAAAGTGAGGTCTCAGGAGCATCTCTGACTACTAGAACTTCAGCAGCCTCTTTGTAAACACTTCATACCCCAGGGTGCTTCTGGGATGATAAAGTTTTTTGCCGACTTGTCACAAGCTAGAGTCATCAGAGAGGAGGGAGCCTCAGTTGAGAAAATGTTGCCCTCCATAGGAAGTGGGTATCCTGTAGGTCATTTTGTAATTAGTGACTGGCGGGAGAGGGCTCAGCCCATGGTGGGTGGCTACACTCATGGGATGCTGGTCCTGGGTTCTATAAGAAAGCCAGGCTGAGCAAGCCTTTGAAAGCAAGTCAGTAAGCAACCCCCCTCCATGGCCTCTGCATCAGCCTCTGCCTGAGGTCCCTGCCTTGATTTCCTGTCCTAACTGCTGTTGATGATGAACTGTCTGTCACATGGGACTGTTGGGGGAAAGAAAGCCTTCCATCCACAGTAGCTTCGGAACATGTTGTTCCATCACAGCAACAGAAACCCTAACTAAGACAGCAAGTTGCAGAATTTATCTACACAATGGACTTTCTCCAGTTTTGATGCAGGAACCCAGGTATGACGGATGATGAGTTAAAAGCAGAGAAGGCAAGCAGGAGAAGGAAACAAACTGTTTACTATTCCCCTAGCTCCATGCACAGCCTGGAAAAGGACAGGATCCATCTACACTCCTGCTAAAATTAGGCTGTAAAACCCAACTGTGTTCCAGTGGCCCAGCGATGAGTTTGGTCCCAGCACCGTACTCTTGACAGCAAGGCACCCAGCCTTGCATGGCTTTTCTCAGGAAGTGGTAAGGCTGGTGGGGCAATATTTGCCTTCCAGAGAACAAAGGTAAAAGTAAGAGGCACCATCAACACAATTGGTGTCATCACTTCCTTCCGGGGACATCTGGAGAGGGTGACAGTCTTACATGGGGAAGTAGACAGGCTACAGTAAAGTCTTACTCTCTCCTTATTATGAACCTCACCTCCAACTGTCATTATGTTCTCCAAAAAGGCAATTGCTTTCTTTCCTGGGTCCACAGCCTTGCCAACTCCACAGCATGCATGGCCAGCTCACCATGAGAAACCTAAGATGCATGCCAGGCACCTGAACTATAACACACTGCCCCACCCCTCCGTGCAATGCCTAAGTCTCTTTATAGTGATCAGTCAAGTATCCCTACTTCCTTCTTGTCCCAACATAGCAGGTGCTCTCCACCTTCTGTAGACCAAATGCTGCAAAACTCAGGTCCTCGGCCTGCTCTGTGTTCGTGGGAGCCCGATGCAGCCTTCCTGTCTTCAGCCTTGTGATCCACACAGGTCTACATAACCAGAAAAGGGTAGGAAGGCACAACTTGCCCACATATGAGCCCTGAGCTGGAAAGGGAGCACTGACACTATAAAAGTAGAGTCCAGGGCGAGGAGGGAGGCTATGAGGCCAAGACTTCAGCCAGAGTCAACTCTGAGATGGAGTGGAAATCTAGTGGTGATAGCCATAATAGGGAAACACACCCTGGAAACACACGCAAGTCTAAACATAGTTTGTTTCTTGAGGAGCAAGGAACACAGAGAACTAGCCAGAAGCAGCAGCCAGACCCCTAGCAGGCCAATCCTAGTTGGAGCATCTTAACGCCTTACAATCTAGGTGGCCACTCTCCACCTCTAGGAGCCATCCTGACTGGCCATAAGGTAGCTACAGGAGGTGAGTGCTAAGGCTGGTGGAGACTAGGTCCAGTTCCTGCTATTTCTCCTTGTTTTCCCCTTGGGAAGTGTACATATAGGTCATCAGATAGGGCTGATTATTTACTCAGCAGGTACCAGTAGTGACTATGCTAGTCTGTGGTTTTTTTTAAAGGTCTGTACCAGCCGGTAAACAGCCACTGCCTGGAAACCTCCCAAGTGCTTCCTCCTAAAGCAGTAGAGGTCACACCCTTATGGAGGAGGGGAGGGGATATGGGAGGAGGGAGTTTGGCAGGGAGAATGACAGGACCCCTTCTCCACAAATCCAGCAACTAAAATGACCCTGACATTGGTCAGGGTAACAGCATGGGTTGCTAAAACTTTTTAATGCAGCCCCTGCTAGGAGACCCAAGGCCATCTGAGAAACCAACACCAAGGCCTTGGAAAGATCCGGTCTTGGCTCAGTGGGCAATTTCTGCACAAGCAGAATGCAGCAGCTGCCCTCACCTCAGGGAACTCTTACTACAGCTGAGGCAGCTCTCTACCTAAGCAGTTCCCACCCCTGGAAACATGGGTCCAGTATAACTCCCAGAGCAAAGAGCTACCAAATAGCAAGAAAGCCTAGCAGGTTGTCAGGTTCCCTTCCTGCTCAGCTAGCTCCACCTGCCTATAGCCCAGGGATAAGGTCAACACTTATTCCAAAAACAACTGCCTGAGGGTACTGATCAAAGAAGCAAGGCAGCTAATTGAGGAGACAGCAGAGACACAGCCACACCTGCTTCTTGGAGTTTCTTTTCTATAGCCATATAGGTTCAGAAAAGAGGAAAGAGTAAATGCATGCACATGAGCACACGCGTACACACACATGAACACACACACACACACAGAGGCAGGCACATGGTGATGATGCCAACAAAAGCAATGGTTCAGCAGGCAATCTTGGAGGCCCAGGATTAGCACCATGAACCTGAGAAACGTTCCAGCCACCAGTGAGTCTGACAATGTATTGGTTGGCAGATTTTCTGTGGTTGAACCTGACCTTGTTTGTCCAAAAATCCTGCCTGACCAATATTTGGTCTGATTATGCAAAGATCCACCTTGAGAACTGCATTCTGTCACCAATTCCCAGGTAAGACAGGAAACAGTAGCTGGTGAGCCGTGTGTGCACCAAGGATGACAAAGGGCTCCAAGGCCCCGCCCCCTTCAGTACAGCCATCCTCCCAGAAGGCAGTGTTCTTGAGGCAGTCTCCTTACCCGCTTGTTATCAGCAGGGCTGTGGTAGAACTGAGAGATCACTGCTTCACTGCTGTTTCCCACTCCAAAGTTCAGCTTCCCTGAAATCCTGTTGAATGATTTTCCGTAGTCATAAGACACGTATACCTGGAACACACAGAAAGGGAAAAAGAAGAAAGGAGTCAGTGAGATGCTCAACAGAAGGACCTCTAATTGCCCTCCACATCCCAGCTTCCCACTCCAGACACCGAGAGAGCACGATTCCCTAGGAGCCCATGATAGCATGAACTTCTGATTCAATCACATGACCCACAAAGGGGATGCAGGGGACTTCTGTAACTGTCCTCCAAGTTGGGGCGGGCCGGGAAGGTAGAAAGTATGAGACTCTGCAGCTACCCCTGCACCGGGAGCACAAAGTCCTCTCACTCCAGAGGTGAGCCGGAGCCCCAGGAGCAGCTGGCAAACGCGAGAATAAAAAACACCCCCTTCCTGCTGGCTACAGTTCAGGTGCAGACCAGACAGAATGCACTCTGAGAGGGAAAGGGCTCAAAATTTGTTTTTTGCATCTTCTGAAATGTCCCCAAAAGGTAATCAGGATAATTGAATTCTTCATCTCTTGACCAGAAAGATGCCATTCTATACCCGAAGAGAGAAACGCATCAAAGGCTCCCAGTGAGATGAAAAGGAGAAGTTGCCGAGTGATAAAACGTGCACAGAGGTTAAGATGCCAGCAGGCTGGGGGTGGGGGAGCTCATTGGTACAATGCTTGTCTAGTATACGCTAGGTCCTAGTTCTAACCCTAGCACAAGCGTATACACATACACACTTAGAGACACACAATCAGTACCAGAACCGACCCCTGCACTGGTGCTTTGTGACTCTACTGCATGGGAAACCACAGGGGCAGCAGCAAGCCTCCTGGACCCTGCCAACAGACTTGCTTCTCCACTGCCTCCTGGTTTCTGGTGATACAGTAACCACAGAGACACAACCTAAGGACAGTTGTCATCTACCCATGATGCACAGAGCCAATGCTGATCCCATCACAGGAATGAGCTCTCAGGTCACTGCACAGCAACCCTCCCTGGAGAGTCATTGCAGAGAAGACCATGGGGCTCACTAGATTTCGGACTTGCCAAGGTCACAACCTAGAAGTCTTCAAAGCGAGGTGCTGAAGAGACGACACAGTGGTTCAAGAGCACTTGGCTGCTCTTCCAAAAGAACAGAGTTCAGTTCCCAGCATCCACATCACGGAGCTCACAACCAAACACTTGTAACTCCAGCACCAGGGATCTGATACCCTCTTCTGACCTGCACATGCGTGAGCATACACATGAATAAATAATAAAAATAAATCTAAAGGAAAAATACAAAACAACAAACAAACAAAAAACCCAGGGAGAAGGTCCCTGACCTGGCTGCCTGCCTTCAAGCTAGTGATCTCAACACCACCAACTATTATCTCAGGTCATGAAGCATAAAATAGATGCTGTAGGGGTATTTTCAACCTAGATTTTACTACCTGTGAGATATGGAGTATTAATATAAACAAAGAAATGAAAAACAAACCTGTTAGGTGATGATTGCATTGTTAATTTTTCAATTATTTATGGGAGAGATAACTGAGGAAAGCAGGGAAGAAAAACAGCAGGTAATTTCCAAGGAGAGACTGGCTAGACTCAACCCAGAGTTGAGTTCAGCCCAACTTTTGAGTTGCCATCTCCGCCCTTTTGATTCAACTGCAAATAAGCAGTTGAGGGTTTCACAGGAGCCAAGTCGGGCACTGAGCACCAGACACACGGAAACTAACAAAAGACATGGTCATCAGACAAGGACGGGCCTGTGAATGTGTGAACGCTTGCTTGTTAATGAGGCCATGAACAAACTGTAAAGGACAGGAGGCTGCACATGGGGAACCGAGACCGAGGAGGGCCATTACCATTTAACACATGTCAAGGTTAAGGGAGGCAGGGTGTCTCTGCCTCTAACTGGGTCATCTCAGAAAGAACAGTGCCGCCACAGAGGCAGCTGTGCCCAGCTAGCAGGTTGATAGTTCACAGATAACCTGAGTGGGTAAAAGAGCAAGAAGAACTTCCTGCATTCTGTTTGCCAAGAATAGACACGGTTTCCCAGGAAAGTTCAAGAGTTGTACAGCGCAAACTAATGGCTGCTTAAATAGGAAACCAAGCAAGGCTCCTTCCAACTCCAGTATCCTGTGATGTGATAATCCCCTGTGAGAGGCACAAATGGGATCCTATATTTACATCGAAGTGGTATTTTTTCAGTATGTGCTGTTCCCTCCTACACACTGCTCCTCTTCCTCCTTATAACTCTGGTAAGGAATCTTAGCTTCAGGGTACCTAGAGTTTACCAGTTAGTCAACAGACGTCTGTAATGAATAAATGTGATTATAAACGAAGGAGTAGGTAAATGAATGCGCTGGATCAATGACCAAAGAGAGTGAAATGAATTAACTGGTGAGTCACGGAGAAGACAGATCTCAGTAGCAACACTGGATTGGTTCCAGAGTCCCCATGGATACTAAAATCCAGTGACACACAAGAGAAAAAAATAGCACAGAACCTACATGCATTCTCCCATACACTTTATCTCTAAATTGCTTATGACAATTAAGACAACACATGTCTTATAATATATGAATGAATACTTGTTTGTACTGCATTGCTTTAACAATGACAAGGGGCTGGGCGATGGTGGCGCACGCCTTTAATCCCAGCACTCGGGAGGCAGAGGCAGGCAGATCTCTGGGAGTTCGAGACCAGCCTGATCTACAGAGCTAGTTCCAGGATAGGCTCCAAAGCCACAGAGAAACCCTGTCTCGGAAAAAAAAAAAAAAAACAATGACAAGGGAGGAAAAAATGTCTATTCACGTTCAGAATGGATATAACCTGCTGCCCTCACGTTTTCAGTTCACAATTGGTAGAATCATGGATGCTGCGCTCACAGACACAGGACCTGCTGTAACTTTTGAGAGAACAAAAGCTAAGCGCCACAGCAGGAAATGACTAGTCCAGGGTCACATTGGTAGTAAGTGCCCAGGCTTTGCCAGTCTCTTGAGATTCCAAGCCTGCTTGTTTTTTTAACTCTGCAAGTTACCCTCCTACAGATGGTCCCTTTCTCCATACTTAGTGTCAGGAGTTAGAGCCAGCCTTTAGAAAGGTCCTAGGCAGACAGAATAAACAGACTTCCTGAGATTCTCAACGGTAGGGACTGCCACAGTGCGGGTGGCAGTAAAACCTCTTCCTCGTGACACCTGCAAACAAGCCCAACCATCTCATGGGTCTGAGACTTAATAGAGGTTAAGAGGGAGCTGACAGGGACCCATCCTATGCCTGAAGCCTATCACAGATCGCTCATCGACCTGCCTTGCCTTGTCCAGGTTGAACAATTCCAACAAGCTATTTTTATCCTGTCCTTGTAATTTCTTACTTCTCTTCGGCAGAAACAGACTATGCTCAGGGCGGGGGCACAGTTATCCCTCTATAGTGACGACACACAAAAGCCCTCTGAGGGCTCGGTTAATTCTAAGAGGGACGGAGGCTTTGAGTCTCTGTGCTGCACTCCAATTACCAATTCTAACTGGGGCTGTCTGTTGCTCACGGCAGCAGGATGCTGGTGACTCACTGGCCACTGTCACTGCCAGGTGAACGGGAGCAGACACCCTGAGCTCGCTGTCGGCTGCCAGCACCGTTTGTTTTCCTCCAGACGCCGGGTTCCCACTAATTAGTCCTCGCTGACCTCAATATGACACTGTTCCTTAAAGAACAACAACAAAAATCTAAAGTGGGAGGGTTCTAAACTGCCCCAAGGTTCCAATTAGATCACTTCCTTACCCATGAAGACAGTCCTTTGAAGCGAAGGCCCATGCAGCTCAGAATTATATAATAATGGAGGGGCGGAGGAGGAAACCCTGAAATGTCAGACGGCATCCCTTCCCCTGGCACCGCCCCAGGTCTTTTAGAGCACTACATAATCTTAGCGGGCTTCACAAATGCCCAAGCAAGACCTACCGGCCATACGCAGTTTCTGAGAGAGGTCTAAGCCTGGCATGGTAGTTCACACTATCATCCCAGGATTAGGGAGGCTAAATCAAGAAGGAAAGAGTTCAAGGCTAACCCGGGCTGCATAGAAAGTTCCAGACCAGCCTGGACCACATAATGAGAGCATGCCCCAAAGAAAAAAGCAAAAGAAATGAAAATAATAATCATCATAATAATGACAATGATGACGATGATAAATTTTAAAAATTAAAAAAGTAATCTGGGGTAGTACCTAATACTCTTCATTTCTAAGTAGCTCCCAGAAAAACACTCATTTGAATGACTTACATACCATACTTTGGGTACCGTTCTAGTTGGCTTTCTGTTGCTGTGATAAAAACACTGACAGGAAGCATCTTAGGGAAGAAGAGTTAAGGTTAGAGTTTCAAAGCAAAATTTCCAGGCAAGAACTTGGAGGCAGAAACTGAAGCAGAGGCTACGGAGGAGTGCTGCTTACCGGCTTGCCCTCCATGGCTCCCTCAGCCTGCCTTTCATACAACCAACCAGCCCAGCAGCCCAGGGGTGGCACCACCTACAATGTTCTGAGCTCTCCCACATAAATTATCAATCCAAACAATGTAGCCACAGAATAGCCTACAGGCCAATCTGATGGGAATGTTTTCTCAGTTGAGGTTCCCACTTTCCAAATGACTCTAGCTGATGTCAAGTTCGCAAAAAACTAACCAGTTCCAGATACCAAAGTTTGAGAATTGGGGCGGTTGTTTGTTTTGCAATACCAAGAATAAAACTCAGAACCCTGAACACCCAGGCAGTTGTTTTACTAACCATTGCACTACACCTAACTGAGCAATACACAGCACCCCAACCAGAGACCTGAGTCCGCTGGGATGAATAATCATGAACTAGAAGCCCCAATCCTGTGAGTCAAAATAAATTTTCTCCTTAAAAGTTGATTGTCTCAAGTATTTTGTTATAGTAACCAAAAAAAAAATGACTAAGATAGTATAAATTATGTGGCTCATTATTTATAAATGGCAGAGCCAGGGTTCCAACCCAAGCATTGGGATGTAGAGGTTCTCCATACTATTAGCAAGGATGGGAGTTCTACTATCTAGTTGATCCAGGAGGGAGCCAATCATATCATACTAGTCTAGGGACAAGAGGAATGAGTCTTATTATCCATGCCGTCTCAGTCGATTCTGATCCTTTGGTGGATATTGTCCCCAGGTATCATTTTTGGTCAATTATGTTGCACCTAGATACTTCATTACTTCATTATTCCTGCTGGTAATTGAGTGATTATTTGATTCTTTTTTTTTTTTTTTGGTTTGGTTTGGTTTGGATTTGGGGGGGGGGGGTGGTAATTTGTTTTCTGAGATAAGAACTCTCTCTGTAGCCTGGATTAGGCTTGAACTTCCAATCCCCCTACCTCAGCCTCTTGAGTGCTTCTATCATAGGCCTGTGCTACCATACCAGGTGGCTCATGAGTACTCTCCAAAATGCATCCTCAGAAAGCGGAAGTAAAGAACTGGGACAAGTTGAGATAACCACATCCTGGGTTGCAGTTCACCAACTCGTGGCAGAAATAGCTGGCCTTTGCCGGAGACGACACTCGGCTGATGATAGCTGATGACAGGTGGCGTGGTTTGGTTTGGCATAAGAGCAAGCCATCTGGAATGCCAGTGTCCAGGCCCACCCGTGTTTACCTACAGAATATTATAACCTCAGCCATTCTCTCTACTTCACAGGTTCCTTACCTGTGTGCAAGCTCTTCCCCTTCAGACAGTGGCTTTCTGAACCACCCTTCCTGTCCTCCTGAAGGAACACTTGAATCGTTCCCTCACCAGCGCCACCGACTCTGCCTCTGAGTCACAGTTTATTTTTGCACTAACTTTTCACATCCGAACATCTCGGTGTCGGCTGCCAATTCTTTAATGCGGTATGTACATGGAGGGAAGAAAATTCTGCCATATCTATTTATTAACTCTGGACATTAAGTTTCCTTCCCATTTAATCTTCCCTCACACGTCACTCCGGCATAACGACTTCAAACAGCCAACAAGATCTTCAGAACATGTACTCCAACATTTCCACAAGGTGGGAGCTGAGCTGGATAGGCCACTAGTTCTTGAATGGTCAACGCTCCTTTGGGCAGACTGACGGGATCTGAGAAGTGAACTTTCTAAATCAAATCCATGGTTGGTCCCACATTTCCATTACACGTCCCTACTCCACCACTGACATGTTAAGTGACCTGTTGTGAATTCATTTGTGCCCCTAAGCCCTTTTACATGACCTTCAAAAATGCAAAACAATGCTTAAACATCTTTACCCATTTTGCAATGACAAACATTTCCTGGACAGGGGATTATTTTTATGCACAAACACCCTGAAGATTTCTCAATACAGTAGAGCATAGAGCTGACTTCTGGGCCTAAGAGGGACTCCTAACAACAGGCATTAGACTAAAGATGTGCACAGGTAACTACGGAGCATCCCAAGGACAGCAGGCACTCACACACAGCCATCCGTGTGTGACCACAACTACTGCTTACAAACCTTGAAAATATTTATTTATAAATCAGCCTAAATTGTCGCTCCCAAACAAGTCCAGCCTTGTTCAAGAGCAAAACACCAAGACTAGCCATTATCTGCATTATCCCATGATCCAGGGCTCAGAATGTTCCCTAGGCAAAGCTCTGCCCAGCCCTTCTTCAAGCCTCCCTTACTGTGCTTGCCCTAATTAACTGCTCTGGAAAACATCCCAAGACTCACACTGACTACATCCAACCCAGACAGTGCATACACTGATGGGGGCTCTGAGACACCCAATGTACATCCACAAACCACAAGTGTCCCTTTAAAACACGTGTGAAGGCATCCTCTGACCAGAATGCAGAGCCAGGGCAGGGGAGGGGAGAGCGTGCAGGAGGCGGGAATACAGCGTGTTCTCCACAGCTTATGAAGCTCACCCTTATAAAGAAGGCAGTCACCCACCCCAAGGCAAGGATTATTGCTTTGCCCGCAAGGAGATGCCTGGACTGCAGACTTGGAAGCCAAGGACCAGCTCTGACCCTAATCCTAGATTTTTTTTTTTTTTGAATTTTCGAGACAGGGTTTCTCCATAGCTTTTGGTTCCTGTCCTGAAACTAGCTCTTGTAGACCAGGATGGCCTCGAACTCACAGAGATCCTTCTGCCTCTGTCTCCTGAGTGCTGGGATTAAAGGCGTGCGCCACCACCGCCCAGCCTAATTCTAGATTTTTATTTGGCCTAAATGGTACTTGTAAGAGCTACCCTTTAGCTGCCAACTGGTAAGACTTAGCAGCTTTACACAAAGAGACCTCTAGGCTGGGGGCAAAAGCTCAATGGTAGAGAGGTAGCCTAGCGTATGCCAGGCCCCGGGTGCCATTCCCAGCGCCACGAAATAAGTCAAAAGACCTGTGACCTTCTGCTGAAGTCAGGAGATCTGGCTATACTGAACCAGTAACCTGCATGGCCTCCAGGACGTAGGTAGGACCTATTCACCACAGTCCTGTGAAGTATTTCTGCTGCTTGCTAGTGCCTAGACCACTAACCAAGCATCAACCAGAGACAGAAAGTCTTTCTTGAGCCTATATATCTTTTGAAGGTGCAGAAATGGCCTACTGCCCAAGACCATGGACTTAAGAAAATAAAAGAGACACTCTTTATTATAAAGAACTTGGAAGTGCTGGACATGATGGGACATGTCTTTAATACCAATGCTCAGGAGGCAGGGGCAAATAAATCTCTGTGGGTTCAAGGCCAGCCTGGTTTATATGAGAAGCTCCAGACTAGTCAGGGCTATATAGTAAGACCCTATCTAAAAAAAATGGGGGTGCCTTCCCTCCCATCCTGGATCTGAGATTCTTTCAGTTCTTCACAGTATCTAGCTAAAACAACATTATCAACAGAAACAGTAGAAATGAACATGGTAGTTTATGCTCATAATCCCAGCACTAAAAAGACTGGGGCAGGACTGCTATGAGTTCAAATCCAGCCAAGAGAAAGTTCTAGACACTATGGAAAGTGCTGGAGAGAGAGGCCCTGTAACAACAACAACACACACACACAAAACAGACAGACAGACAGACAGGATGATAAAGAGAAGATGGATAGACAGATGATACAAGACAGATGATTAATAGATACATAGACATATGAGACATATAGCTAGAACATAAATATACATCCTGATGCAGGGATAATATATAAGTAAAGGAGGAAGAGAATGGATCTGTCAACAGCTCATCAGCTAGTCATTATCTGCATTATCCCATGCTCCAGGGCTCCGGATTCCCTAGGCAGAGCTCTGCAGCTGATAGCCAACCCTTTTCCAAGACTCCCTTACTGTGCTTGCCCTAATTAACCTTCTAGAAAACATCCCACGATGTTGACATACGGAAAAGACAGACCAGATTAACTCTCTCTGGATCAGCTCCAAGCTGCTCTGCCTTGGAGTGCTCTTTGGCGCCTTGTAAAGCTATCAGTACAGACCACCTGTGATGTCTCAAAAGTCATCCTGCACTGTGCACATCTGCTTGGACAGCTCCACCCTGAGTTCGGCATGCAAGGGTCACATGCATTATTTTCCATATCTCTTCACTGCCATACAGTTCATCTCATCCATTCTTTAACTACCCACTCTTTCTTCTCTGACCTGGCAACCTGGAGGCTCAGAAGGGTCATTCCAATAGCACCCGGGAGGGCCCAGCACCCGGAGATACTTACATCACTGCTCTTAGGCCTCGCCAATGCCAGGCTGTCTCGGGCTAATGCCACGATCACGTTGCTTTTCTCTCCAGCCCAGTGCACCACCATCTGATTGTGGGAGTCATTCAGACTGACCTGAAAGAAACCAAAAGGAAATCAAGCCCTGTGGTGAGTGACAGGCACACACATTCCAAACCAAGACTCCTTCCTGGTCCCCTCTGCCACTCAGATTCTGAGATGTGTTGCGTGGGGTCAGGGCAGCCTCCCCTCGTTGCTCACCAAACTCTTCCATTAGTACCTTCCCCAAGACGAATCACCAACCCATCCTACACTCAGTTATACTATAGATAACATCTCCTGGGGACAGGACTTCACAAGGGACTCCTCTGCTTTATTTCATCCTTGGTGACATCACTCCATGTGTGTGCTGTGCACTAACACGTCCGGTTCATTCAAAAAAAAACTCACCATAGGCTGGGAATAGTGGGGTACAGAGGGGATAGTTAATGGGGGACAAGGGATAGATGGAGGAAATAACTTTTTTATTTAGATTTAGTGTGTGTGTGTGTTCTCAGAGTATACGCTATAGAACATGTGCAGAGGTCATAGAAAAGGAAAACTTTCTGGAGTTGGGCCTCTCCCTTCACCATGTGGGTTCCAGGAATTGAACTTGGGTTTTCTGTCTCGGTCACAAATACCTTTACCCACCGAGCCACCTCACCAATCAGAAGGAATAACTTCTAACATCCTATAGCACCTGTAGGAAGACTATGATTGACAACAACAGTTGATTGTATTCAAACCAGAGAAGATGATAAATACTCTCAATAGAAACAATTGACTGTCTAGGGTGATGGACCATCCATTCTCTGACCATTACCTGCAGGTGCCCCTTATCTGACCATGACACACACCCTGAAACACCAGACTGTTTGTCTGTATGTGTCTATTAAAAATTCTATAAATTTTTTTAAAAATCCACAGACCAAAAGGCCACATACTTTTTGAACTTCTTTCTAAACAAGTGTGTCGGGAGAGAGCACTGTTACTCAACTTTAGGTAAGAAGAAAAGTTGAAAGAAAGACTTGCTTATGCAATTTCTCTACTTTGATGGCCGTTTGGGGTTTTTTGAGACGGTCCCTCAGTGATTATGATCCTCCTGCCCCAGCCTCCCTCAGTGCTGAGGTAGCTGAGTGTCTCAAATAAGGAAACGTTACACAGTTCTAAACGGAAGTAGCCTTTAGATTACTGCAACAGTAGCTCCCAGACTTTCAGGTCTGCAAATCAGCAAAATAAAAACAGAATAAATAGGCTAACTGAGGTCTGAGTGGCCATTTGTATTTTGCCTGATGTGGATATGGATAAGCCGCCATGTCACAGCCTCTCTCTCTCTCTCTCTCTCTCTCTCTCTCTCTCTCTCCCTCCCTCCCTCCCTCCCTCTCTCTCTCTCTCTCTCTCTCTCCCTCCCTCCCTTCCTCCCTCCCTCCCTCCCTCTCTCTCTCTCTCTCTCTCCCTCCCTCCCTCCCTCCCTCCCTCTCTCTCTCTCCCTCTCTCTCTCTCTCTCTCTCTCTCTCTCTCTCTCTCTCTCTCTCTGCTTCCTGAAGACACCACAGACTCTTGCCCTGACTGAGACAGCAAGGTATATCCCTGGGACAGGGCTCCAGGGCTCTGAGAGACATCCTAGGGACCACTCCACCCACACAGTCCATTCGCTGGTGGCAACTCAGATCCCAATGCCCTAGAGGCAAACAGTAACAGGCTAGAAAGTGCCTGGGTGCCTGGGTTCTGACAGGCGGGGCTGCTGCTGATAAGAAACACTCACTCTGAACTTCTCAGATGGGCACTGCTAAGCTTTCAGGGTTTGTTTGATAAAACTAAGGAAGAATCTAAACTTGGAGTAAAGAACCACTCTTTTAGGTCACTTTTGCCTCATGGAAAAACTATCTGTGCGGCTTTGTTTCTCTCTTTTCACTGTTCTGTCTCTCTGAATGCCTGTGTTCTCATCTTAGCTCACCATGCACTGACTGATGGGCATCCATTCCAAGACAGACTTTTCAAGAACATTGGAGCTCAAAAGTTACTGAACCTGTGCGGACACCAGCAAGCACCAGGGCCCCCTCTGAGAAGCAGTTTGAGGCCTCCCCAAACCCAGCCATCCCACCGCTCCTGCTGAATAGTATCAGGAACAAGACAGGTTGGACAGCCATCTGAAGACCATCAAAGAACCATGTCAGGCCCTCAGGCGAGGAGGTCCAGCTTGAGGCACTGAGCACCTGCCTCTGAGCCTGGAGGGCTCACCCACCCGGGCCAACATCAACTCCTGGACTACTGAAGAGTTCAAGTTGAGCGAACCAATCCTTCTCACAGCAGATCTGGAGCAGAAAGCCCGCCCCCCTCCACAGCCTCTCCCTCTTCCTTTCCGTTTCTCCTCCACCCTGATGTGTTCCACCCACTCCTTGGGGGTGCTCTCAGATGTCACAAGGGAGAAGAAAAACACCTGGGCCACAAGCTTGGCAGCCAGCTCCGGTGAGGAGATAATCTGTAACGGCCCTGCTTCAGGTCATAAGCACCTGCATCTAATTTGATCCAAGAACAAACCGTTCAGATACATGTATATCTGAAGTGAGACCGCTTCAAATAAAAAAGACCCTTGATATTTTTTTTAAGAAAATATGTCATTCCAAAACCCCACTTCTCACTCCCAGTAGATAAGTTCCCGCAAGCATCAAGAGAAACGTGCAAATCAAAAGCTAGAAATAAATTATTTAACTCAAAAAAACTGCTAAGGGTCTCCCCCCAACACCTCAAACCTCTTACTTCCTCTTCCCTTCTCCTCCCTCCCAACCTAGGCTTCCAGGAAGAAACTGGAAATACTGATGGATCAGAGAACCACCAGCACAGGCACCTCGGGTCCTCGGGCAAAAATCTTCTCCCCTACAAAACCATCTGCACCCTAGGAACCAGAAGGGAGCAAGGAGAGAACCATGTAAATGGCACTAGGAAAGGGGGTTAGGAACCTAGGAGCTTCACCCGAAGTTCACACGGGGTCTGGGATGAAAAGATCTTCCATATTCAATCCGGCCATCCTCAAAGTGGCAGGCACAGCCATCCCTCTGGCAGGTTAATAATCAGAGGACACTTTGAACAGGCTACAAAGTGGGAAGGGATCAGAGTGGAGAAGAGGTCTGACAACACTTGCTGAGGTCTTTGTAGCAGAGGGCATAGCTTTTGTTAACTGAGCCTACGGGATGAGAGATGAAATGGACACAAAGGAGAGGCATCAAAATATTTCAGGGGGTTCTCATAAAGGAAGCCACTGGAGGGCAACCTTGGTGGAACTCTCTTTTCTTTTCTTTTCTTTTCTTTTCTTTTTCCTTTAAGCCTTTTCTATCCGATGTCCCCTATATTCCTAAGAGCAAACTGGAAAAGGGCAGCCCGGCGCATGGAAGGAGAAAGCTCTCTGGCAAGCAACGGCTTGTCCAAGGGTCACCAGGCACGCACACAAACAGTTCTGCTCCTTGCCTTGGCAGAGACCTCAAGCATATCCAGTCATGAGAATATAACTCCCTGGTGAGTCACCACTAATCTTCAATGCAGCCTAGGTGCCCATCCCCCGCCAGCACAGGACCAGAATCAGTAGCGGGAATCAATGCACCCCAAGGACAAGGGAGCCAGGGAGCCAGGAGGGCGAGGCCAGAAAGCCATAAATTTTATTAAGGTCAAGACATGCAGTCTGCTTTCCTCCTCTCTGTGTCAGTCCTACAGGGAAAGGCAGGAAGCAGCCCCCAAAGGACTGTCTTGCCATCCTCCATGGACTGTGACCAAGAAACCAACGGCCCCAAGACAGCCCCCAACATCAGGAAACCACAGATTGCCGTGGCTGAATCCCCTTAGTGGTGGCTTCCAGTTTGTTTGGGTCCTTTGCCCTCTTCACAGCCAGCTCTCCCTAATGCTCTCCCTCTAGACAGCTGCAGGCTTGCGGATTGGTTCCCCCAGTCTCTCCCACTTAGTTCCACACACTGATGGAGGAGACACTGGCCTGCCGGGGGGGGGGGGGGGGAGTGGGAGTATGACTTTTCCAGGAACATAACCTTGGTATATAGTCAGTCATAACCATAACCCCAGGGTGTGAACAACCTTCCTTCTCTTTTGTCTCTGGTTCACAGGCGATAGCTGGAGCCTGATAAATGAGCCACAATTAATTGGGGCCATAAAGGCAGAAGGGAGGGGCTGAGTGCCTTCCCTCAGAAGGCAGGGGAGAAAAAATTGCATGCCACAGGGATCTCTGAACCAAAACTCTATCTCGGATGACAAACTAAATCAAGTGGCCTCTCAGACCTCTGCTAGGCTCACAGGTTAGAAAAGCCCCAGAGACCACCTGGTCCAAGATGAGAGCCCTAGAGGTCACCCAGCCAGGATCAGACCCCCAGAGGTCACTCATCGTAGGATCAAACCCCAACACTACCTGGCATAGGATCAGGAACCCAGAACCCACCTGGTTGAAAAACAGAGACCTAGAGTGCCACTGACCCAAGAACAGAAGCACCTGCTTCGTCCCAGAAATACCTTATCAGAAGAAGGTAACCCACGAATGAGCATTTGAAAAACCCCAGAAGAGTCTCATCTAGCTCACATAGAAGATGTTGTATCTGGTCCATTCTCTTCCTTCCAGATTGTGAGAGGCCAACAAAACACTGTTTCTAGGGGGCTGAGGAGAGATCAGCACAGTCTTCGATGGGGCATGGATGCGGGGGGATGGGGGAGCTGTCTTCTGGCATAGCTGTTAATGAAGACTTCGTGCGATACTAACTCACTGCTTTAATACAGACAGACCTTAAAGAGAATGCCAGACGCAAAGGTCACATCCTGCACGACTCCATTTATATAAACCATCCCGGGCAGGTAAATCCACAAAGGCAGGAAGCAGGTGGGTGGCTGCCAGGAGGCTGAGGAGGAAGAGTGAAAGGAGTATCTGTGATTTGCTCTGGGACTATTGAGAATGCTATGGACCTGGACAGAGGCAGTGGATGTACAATGTACGGAATGCATCAAAGGCTCCTATGCGAATTCCACCCCGCTTTCTAAAACATTCCTATGACCTGCGTAGAGCACTCCACTCTCAAGTGCAGATCCGG